AGTCGGAACACGAGCTTTAGCTGTATAGAAAGGGAGAGAGAAGCCCTCTTGAAGTTCAAACTATGTTTCCATGATCCATCTCGTATGTTGTCTTCTTGGAAAGGCAATGACTGTTGTGGATGGAGAGGAGTAGGTTGTGACAAAAATAACCAATATGTTGTCTCACTTCAACTCAGGGGATCAGTATCTGATCGACTTTATTCGCACTTTATTGACGATCAACAACCTCAATTGTACTTGATTGACCATGTAGAGGAGGTTGTTTCAAGTTTGCTCAAGCTAAGACACTTGGAACACCTAGACTTGAGCAACAATAATTTCAGTGGTAATCTTATTCCACCCTCCTTTGGCTCGATGAAGCAGCTGCGATACCTAAATCTCTCTTATGCACAATTCAAAGGGAGAATTCCTAGTGAACTTGGAAATCTTACAAGGCTTCATGTTCTTGATCTTTCTCATAATTATTATGGGAGATTGAAGGTTGATGATGACATTCAATGGATTTCTCATCTCTCCTCTTTGCAACAACTTGATATGAGTGGAGTAAATCTAAATCATGCCTCATCAAACTTGTTCCAGGTACTTGGCATGCTTCCTTCCCTATCACAATTAAGTCTATCAAGCTGTAGTCTCAGAAATTGTCACTTGCCATCTCACCACCATCCCCTTAATTTTACATTGCTTGGCAATATTCAGCACTTAGATCTTTCAGCTAACTTTTTCCAAGGTTCAATACCTATATTTTTCCAAAACATGACTTCCTTGATATGTCTTAATCTTTCTAGCAATCAATTGAGTGAGAATATTCCAGATAACATCAAGCAACTTTTTAAGTTAGAGAGCATAGATCTTTCTAACAATCAATTGAATGGGAGTATTCCAGATAATATCAGACAACTTTCTAAGTTAGAGAGCATATATCTTTGTTGCAACCAATTGAGTGGGAGTATTCCAGATAGCATCGGGCAACTTTCTAAGTTAGAGAGCATAGATCTTTCTAACAATCAATTGAGTGGGAGTATTCCAGATAGCATCAGACAACTTTCTAAGTTAGAGAGCATACATCTTTCTTTCAATCAATTGAATGGGAGTATTCCAGATAGCATCGGGCAACTTTCTAAGTTAGAGAGAATACATCTTTCTGGCAATCAATTGAGTGGGAGTATTCCAGATAGCATCGGGCAACTTTCTAAGTTAGAGAGAATATATCTTTTTGGCAATCAATTGAGTGGGAGTATTCCAGATAGCATCGGGCAACTTTCTAAGTTAGAGAGAATACATCTTTCTAGCAATCAGTTGAGTGGGAGTATTCCAGATAGCATCGGGCAACTTTCTAAGTTAGAGAGAATATATCTTTTTGACAATCAATTGAGTGGGAGTATTCCAGATAGCATCAGGCAACTTTCTAAGTTAGAGAGAATATATCTTTCTAGCAATCAATTGAGTGGGAGTATTCCAGATAGCATCGGGCAACTTTCTAAGTTAGAGAGCATATATCTTTCTGGCAATCAATTGAGTGGGAGTATTCCAGATAGCATCGGGCAACTTTCTAAGTTAGAGAGCATATATCTTTCTGGCAATCAATTGAGTGGGAGTATTCCAGATAGCATCGGGCAACTTTCTAAGTTAGAGAGCATATCTCTTTCTGGCAATCAATTGAGTGGGAGTATTCCACATAGCATTGGGCAACTTTCAAAGTTAGAGAGCATAGATCTTTTTGGCAATCAATTGAGTGGGAGTATTCCACATAGCATCGGGCAACTTTCTAAATTAGAGAGAATAGATCTTTCTGGCAATCAATTGAGTGGGAGTATTCCACATAGCATCGGGCAACTTTCTCAGTTAAAGAGAATAGATCTTTCTAGCAATAAATTGAGTGGGAATATTCCAGATAGCATTGGGTAACTTTCTAAGTTAGAGAGAATAAATCTTTCTGGTAATCAATTGAATGGGAGTATTCCAGATAGTATATTGCAACTTTCTAAGTTAGTGAACATATCTCTTTCTAGTAATCAATTGAGTGGGAGTATTCCAGCTAGCATCGAACAACTTTCTAAGTTAGTGGGAATATATATTTCCGACAATCAATTGAGTGGAAGTATTTCAGCTAGCATCGAGCAACTTCCTAAGTTAGAGATAATGGATCTTTCTAACAATCAATTTGGAACAAGATTTCATGCATAGCTTCAATTGCAAAAGACAAAAATCATGGTTGATCTCTCTAATGCTAGCATCTCAAGTCCTTTTCCGAAAAGCAAAAGTCTTATGATGCCAATGTTGTAGGGATTATATCTTGAAAATAACCTCATGAACGATTCAGTTCCAAAGTCACTATGCAATTTAAAATATTTGAGTGAAGTTGATCTTTCAAATAATATGTTCTTTGGAAATATTCCATGGTTGCTATGCAATTCAAAATCTTTGGGATTTCTTGATCTCTCAAACAATATGTTATTTGGAAGTATTCCTAATTGTTGGATTAATAATCAATCATTCTATTATATTGATCTATCTTTTAACAATCTCTCTGGTTTATTTTCGAGCACAATGGCATGGCTTTCTTCTGTAATTATACTGCACTTGAACAACAATAGTCTTCATAAGGGACTGCATGTGGCCTTGAAAAACTTCACTTCATTAGTGATTTTAGATTTGGGCAAAAATAAATTTTCTGGAAATTTAACAAGCATTGTAGCAGGCCGAGATCGGCAACCACTCTTTAAAGGTTCTCTGACTATGAAAAAATTTGGTTTTCGATTATATTCCTTTGGAACTATGCTCTCTCTCTCTCAATTGCAAATTTTGGATCTTGTAGATAACAATCTAACAAGAAAGATTTCTCCTTGTTTTGGAAAGTTTTTGAT